TGCTGCTTCTGTTGCTGCTTCTAATTGCCCTGCTCCCTTCCCCCCCCTCCATTGGAATCTCCATGTGTGTTCGTTCCAGGCAGTGCCGCTGTGAAACCACTACCAGGGCAACCAGGCAGGCGGTGGTGGTGGTGGTGGGTGCGATGGAACCCCTGGCTGCTCTCCCTCTCCCTCGACGCTGTCTCTCTGCTCCTCCATCGCCTCGCCTCCCGTGCTGCTGCCGCTGCCTCCGCTGCTGCTTCTGCTGCTGCTTCTAATTGCCCTGCTCCCTTCCCCCCCCTCCATTGGAATCTCCATGTGTGTTCGTTCCAGGCAGTGCCGCTGTGAAACCACTACCAGGGCAACCAGGCAGGCGGTGGTGGTGGTGGTGGGTGCGATGGAACCCCTGGCTGCTCTCCCTCTCCCTCGACGTCGCCTCCCTCCTCCTCCATCGCCTCGCCTCTCAGTCTGCCACCACCGCCGCCGCCGCTGCTGCTGCGGCTGCTGATCGCTCTACGTCTGCTTCTACCTCTACTGCTGCCAATGATGGCCCTGATGCTGCAGCTGCTTCTGCTGCTGCTGCGGAGGGGTCTGGTTGCGGTGCTGCTGCTGCTCGTTCTGCTGCTACAGCTGCTGATGCCAGCAGCAGCGCGGATGGAGGGAACGCACAGAAGGAGGTGTTTCAGCTGACAGATGAGGAGCGAGCCGATGTGAGTGGTAGAAACAATGCTGTAATTTTGTTCTCCTGTTGCTGATTCTTGTTCCGCCACTACAGCTGCTGATGCCAGCAGCAGCGCGGATGGAGGGAAGGCACAGACGGAGGTGTTTCAGCTGACGGATGAGGATCGAGCCGATGTAAGTAGAAGGATTAATGCTGTGAATGGGTCTGGTAGCTGTGCTGTTCTGTTGGTTCTGGTGCTGCTGCTACAGTTGCTGATGTCAGAAGGACGGAGGTAAGGGAGGCACAGAAGGAGCGAGCCAATGTGAGTACTAGTTTTTTTTTTTGTTACGAGCAAACAGCCTATGTTTGGAAGTGTGCGTATGTGTGTGCGCGCGCTTGTACCATGTTTTTGAATGCCTTGGTGACCCGTAATGAGGGATCCTTATTTTTGCAACTTCCTCGCATTTTTTTCGCATGTGGCCTATTCTTCCTCTCGCTTTTTCCCTCCCTGCCAATCTTGCTGCCACAGCTTGCCCGGCGGCGAATGCTGCTAGTCATGTACCTCCTTCGCTCGCCCTGCTTTGATGCCATCACAAGGTAACCCTGTGGCCTTCTGTGGGGGGGGGTCTAGACTAGATTCCCTCACACGTCATGCATGCTGCTAGTCATGTACCTCCTTCGCTCGCCCTGCTTCGATGCCGTCACAAGGTAACCCTGGTTTGATTCCATAATTAGCTGGTTCTGTTTTTATTCAATCTTTTGTTCTTCGCCCGACTTATCTTCTCGGCTTCCTTACAAGTTTACTCAACCGGGGTTCTGTTTTCTTGCTTACCCCTTCTTTCCATGTTTGCAGGCATCCTCTAGAAGGCATTCGATCATTTGTTCGCCCGATTCCTCTTCTTGCCCTTGCCCCCCTTATAAGTTGAACCGAATGCGCATTTTGTTGTGTTACTTGTCCCTTCATGCCATGCTTGCTTGCAGGCATCCTCTAGAAGGCATTCGATCATTTGTTCACCCGATTCCTCTTCTAGGCTCCCTCGCAGGTTCGTTCTTCTCGCATTATCTGTTTCCATGCTCTTGTGCGGCTGGTTACACTGGGGTATGCTTTAAAATGTTGGTCTAACCGCTTCCAACTCTTGTACCATTTTATTCTCCTGTTGCAGAGAGAGGATTTGAAATGCTGCTTGGGATCCAGTCAGTCTATTTTTACACTGCAGCATCATAGAGAAGATCCAAGGGAGGGGTGCATTTATTTGCTGAGTACCGTACACGCCATGCCCCATGCCCTAGTGTTCAGTGTCAGCAGGTGCCAGGTGCAGTCCTGTCAAGCTACAGTACAGTCGCATATATCCCTGTGCATGCATATGAAAGAGAAGGAAATGCTCAATTAGTGTAGAGATTGTATTGTTACGTGCTGTGATTTCCACAAACGAATGGCTAACAACTGCTAGTGATTTTCCTGAGACTAGTTTTTATGCTATGCAAGTTGCTAGAGCAATTGAACAATCCTGGTAACACTCACAAGCTTTCGTCAACACTCGCCAACATGTGACCGTTGGCAGGAGCCCATCGTAACTTGCGCCTCGGCATCTGAATTAGGTCTCTTAGGTCAACAGTGGCGAATTCAATGCATTTTTCAGCTAGACGTTTGTAAGTAGTTCCTAAATATTTGTCCCTGGATATCCTCTGCTGAATATAATCCACGCTTCCTGCTCCTAAGCGTCAGTGGCAGTTAAGAATGTACCAGACGCGAAGCGACAGAAAGGCGCCGCCGGAAAACGCGGAGGAGGGCATTACACAGGAACGACTGGGTAAGATTTGTTTTCGTTGCTGCTGCTCCGAGTATCACCACCCCTAAACTCCCAGCTCAAGCAAACAGTTTAGAATGCTCAAGTTTCCCAAACCCCCAACAACCGCCCCTTTTCCCTCTCCCTTTCTGCCATTCTCTCCCTTCCCTTCTCACTTCCCTTTTTTGCCATTCTTCCATGCAAGACTGGCGTTCATGGCAATAGCCAAGCCATTGCCAGCAGCGCTAAGAGAAACACTTAGCGAGGCTTCCGGTGTCAGGGAGGTGCTTAGTCAGAGCTGGAGGCAGTCGTACGTTTTTGGTGGCCTTACAATAATCATCTCTTAAGTGCTGAAATGAAAAAGCCCACTTTATCTGTCCTCCCTGTTCTTTTTTTTTTTCCGCAAATCATCCCTTCTAACTTTCAGTCCAGGCAAGACTGGCATCGCTGGCGGCAGCAGAGCCACTGGCAGCAGCGCTAAGAGAAACACTTAGTGAAGCGTCGGGTGTGAGGGAGACCGTGAGGCAGGAGGGAGCAGTGCAGGCGGAACTGGGGGAGGTGGTGATTGAGGTGTCCCGGTTCCAGGAGCAGCACCGAAAGTGGGCCACAGAATTTGATGGGCTTCACACAGCAATCAAGGTAAGCCCTTATACAATTTAAGCAGTGCAGGCGGAGCTGGGGGAGGTGGTATCTGAGGTGGTGCGGCTCCAGGAGCAGCACCGAAAGTGGGCCACAGCAATGAGCTCCATACAGCAATTAAGGTGAGCCTGAAAGAAGGCAATTAAGGTCGTAGCTGGGGGAGGTGGTATCTGGGGTGGGGGGGTTCCAGGAGCAGCACTGGAAATGGGGCCGCAGCATTCGATGAGCTCTACACAGCAATCAAGGTAAGCCCTTACATCGTGCAAGCAATGCAGGTGGAGCTGGGGGAGGTGGTATCTGAGGTGGGACGGTTTCAAGAGCAGCACAGAAAGTGGGCCACAGCATTGAATGAGCTTCACACAGCAATCAAGGTAAGCCCCTGTAGAAGGGAATCACGGTTAGAGCTTGTGGAGGTGGTATCTGAGTTGAGGGAGGTGGTACCTGAGCTTGGGTAGGTGGTATCTGAGGTGGGGCGGTATCAGGAGCAGCACCAGAAATTGGCCACAGCATTCAATAAGCTCCATCCAGCAATCAAGGTAAGCCCTTACATCGTGCAAGCAGTGCAGGCGGAGCTGGGGGAGGTGGTTTCTGAGGTGTCCCGTTTCCAGGCGCAGCACAGAAAGTGGGGCACCGCACTGAATGAGCTTCACACAGCAATCAAGGTGAGAAATGAAGGCAATCCAGCAGGGTATGCCCCTTTATACAGCAATGAAGGTCAAATCCAGGGAAGGTGGTATCTGAGGTGGGACGGAATCAGGAGCAGCACCAGACATGGGCCACAGCATTCAACAGCCATCGTTTCAAGCAGCTAACCTTGATCGCTGTTCATGGAAAGCTGGGGTAGGTGGTATCTGAGGTGGGGCGGTATCAGGAGCAACACAGAAGATGGGCCGCAGCATTCAACAATCATGAGTTCAAGCTGCTAACCTTGATCACTGTTCATGGAAATCTTCAATCTTACATTCCGGACAGTGTAGAAAATGGCATCATATGTTGGTTTTGAAGCTTGAAGCTGTTGGATTGGGTAATGGGCGGCATTCTGACACACATGTGCAGTTTTTAGATGTTTAAACACCACACATGTTCATGCACATGGAATGTGATAACTTCTCACAGTACTCACACACCCTGTCCTTTCCTCACTCCCTGCCATCCTCCTCCCACCCCCTTCCCCCCCACCCCTCCCCCCTCCCCCTTCTTTGATGTATTTCGCAATGTGAACACTACCGCTATGTTATACTGTGGTGGTGCTTGAATTGTTTTCTACAGGAAATAGGAGACTTTGAGAATTGGATGAAGGTAATGGAGAGAGATATTGCTCTTGTTACAACCACGATAGAAATAGTCACTCTCTCACAAAACAAACCATGAAAATGTTCAATCCCTGCAGCTTGAAGCAGAATAAATAGTCACTAGTATAGATAAATTGTTTATGCTAGTATAATTACAGCAATTTGGCAAAACGTCTATATAAACAACCAGGCACACATCACTGCAATATTATTGTGGTCTGCACGCCATCCCTTCATACAGTAACCACTAAAGCCATACCTTCATCTGGTTACCCGAGTGACCTTTCACTACCTCTGCGCTCCTTCCCATCCCATCCCACGCTACGGTACGTCTTCAATAGTCCTGCAGTAACCACATGACTTTCCATCTGGTTACCACGTGTGCTCCCAGCGAGCACTTTCCCTGCGATTTCTTTCAATCCCATCCCATGCCAACAGTTCTGCAGTACTGTGGTGCCGTAACCATGCAATCCCGCATCTGGTTACAGGATAACCATCTGGTAACCACTATCCCTGACGTTCTCATCCCATGCCATCAATTCTCCAGTCCAGTGGTAGACGCAACCATCAGATCAGTTATTCAGTCATGTGGTAACCATGCAATACGCACATCTGGTTACCACGTGCCATCCTCCCATCCCGTCATTCCTGCGGCTCCCATGCCATCATGGCCAATAGGGGGTTGCCCTTCCACGTCAGCACCACGCTCGCCTCGTCTACTCTCCGCACGTCATGCCCCACCTTGTTGTACCTGCACGTGCCATCATGCCATGCCACGTGTCATCATCCCACACCATGCGTCATCATGCCACATTAAAATACGTAGTAACATGTCATCAGTGCCACAGGAAAATCAGATCACACGCAAACCACATGGAAGATGGATCAGACAAGGATGAGGATGCGATTATTTGACAAAACAATCACATCTGCTAGCCGACAAGCAAAGGTCAGCTCAGACTTTTTTTCTTATTATTTCTTAGTGGACAGTGGTAACCACACTCACGTCTGTAGCAGTGCATGCAGGGTGGTAACCATGCCTTCGCTCAGCCCACGAGGCTTGAACCCTTCTCCCAGCATCCCCTGCTGCCACTGCTCCAACGGCTCTCACCACTTCTCAACTCTTACCATGCGAAGTGAGAACCGGACTTACCTTGTAACCCAACAAGGAAGTTACCACTACTAGATTCACGTTGTAACAGTGCGTGCAGGGTGGTAACCACCCCTTCGCTCAGCCCCCGGGGTTTGAACCCTGCCCTCTGCATCCTCTGCTGCCACTGCTCCAATGGCTCCTGCCTCTCCACCCTCTCCTGCTCCTCACACGCTTCTGCTCTTACCTTTAGCTGTCAGTAACATACAGAATGGTAACCAGACTTACGTTTGTAACAGTGCATGCAGGGTGGTAACCACCCCTTCGCTCAATCCTCGAGGCTTGAAGCCCGCTCTGAGCATCCTCTGCTGCCACTGCTCCAACGGCTCCTGCCTCTCCACCCTCTCTTGCCCCTCGCATGCTACCAGATTCACAATCGCCCGGCCTAGCACCTGTTGGGTGGGAGAAATGAGGAGCAACGGAAAACAAGAGAGAAAAACAATAGCCTCTGCTGCCTCTCCACCCTCTGCTGACCCTCACATGCCAACAGGGTCACAATTGCGCGGTCTAGCACCTGAAGATTTGGTGGAGGAAAGAAGCAAGGGAAACGGCAATGTCGGAGGCAGTGGGAACAACAGAACAAGCAGACAGGATGAAGTCCAGGCGACCAGCAAGCACGCACAAACGGGCAGACAGACAGACAGACAGGCAGACAGACGGACAGTCAACGAGACGCACCTGCTCCTCAAACGCTCTTCTTGCGACCTCGTTCCTGGGCAACGATGCGTCAATCGACTCGAATAAAGCAGCGTAGTAGTAGAGCGCTTCATAGAATCTCGCAAGGAAGAAGGGCGAGGAGTGGTTGCTGTATTGCTCCACCACCGTCACCACCTTGGGCCGCAGCATCCGGATCGTTCGCAGCACACACGGACAAACAGACTGACGGACGGACGGACACACAACGAGACGCACCTGTTCCTCAAACACTCTTCTTGCGACCTCGTTTCTCGGCAGCGACGCATCGATAGATTCAAACAGCGCAGCGTAGTAATACAGGGCTTCATAAAACCGCGCGAGGAAGAAGGGCGAGGAGTGGTTGCTGTATTGCTCCACCACCGTCACCACCTTGGGCCTCAGCATCCGGATCGTTCGCAGCACTCTTGTACGCGGGGATTCGTCCGAATCTGCCTTCGCCAGGTACGACCTGTCTGGATCTGAGCTGTCCAGATATGCCCTGTTTGAATCTGAGCCGTCCAGATACGACCTGTCTAGATACGCCCCATCCACGTCTGCCCTCCTGTCCACATCCGCTCCGACTGCTGCTGCCGCTACTTCGGAAACGGGCTTGGGAGCAGGCTCGGAAACAGGCTTGGCGAAGACCGTGCTAGCTGCGGTGGCAGGGTTGGCAGCAGCGTTGGGCTGCTCTGATTCGTCGAGGAGTTGGGAGAGGCGGAGGGCGCAGTTGGCAGCGATGGCTTCCCCTGGGTGCAGGTTGAGCATTGAGGGAGTGACGTCCTCCAGACGAGACATCACCCAGTGGTAGCGCAGAGGCACCCCCCACATGGCTGCTGCTGACTGGTGAGTGGAAAGGGGGTTTGTGGAAGAAAGGAAAGGAGAATGGGGTTGAGGAAAGCTCTTCGCCTCAAGAGAATGGCTTCCCCTGGATGCAGGTTGAGCATTGAGGGGGTGACGTCTTCGAGACGAGACATCACATCACCCAGTGGTAGCGCAGAGGCACCCCCCACGTGGCTGCTGCTGATTGGTGGCGGAGGAGGGGAGGGGAGGGGGAGAGAGAGAGAAGACAGGGCACAAAGAGGGAAATTTCGCCAGGTTTAGAGAAAGCTTCGTTTTCAAGACACTTTCACTGGGTGCAGTGCAGGTTAAGCATGGAAGGGGGTGACGTCCTCGACATCGTCCCGCACTGAGGCAAGTGCGGGGTGATGCCATGCAGGGGCATGGCACCTTGATCCCTGTCACGCGCACATGAGGCAGAGTGATATGCCATGCCCCTGTGTGTGTGGGTGTGGAGTGGGGGGGGGGGGAAGGGCTGTGTGCAATGTATACGACCCAAAAGAAAAGGCTCACCTCCCTGTCTTCATGGCACAGTAAGGAGACATGGCTCCGCACTGAAGCACGTCGATCCAGTCGCTTCCCTGCCTTCATGGCACAGTAGGGCGACATGGCTCCGCACTGCGGCACCTCTATCCCTGTCACGCGCACGTGAGGAGGGTTGAGAACCCTCACAATTCGACTCACCTCCAGTCGCTTCCCTGCCTTCATGGCACAGTAGGGAGACATTGCTCCGCACTGAGGCACCTCTATCCCAGTCACGCGCATGTGAGGCGCCCCCCCCGGCCTGGCACCCAGAGCCTGCAGGAGAGCTGGCCACTGCAGGGCTTCACTAGTGCATGCCTCTGCGTGCTATGTATGCCCCAAGGGACTCACCTCCAGCCGCTTCCCTGCCTTCACGGCACAGTAAGGAGACATGGCTCCGCACTGAGGCACCTCTATCCCCGTCACGCGCACGTGAGGAGGGTTGAGAACCCTCACAATTCGACTCACCTCCAGTCGCTTCCCTGCCTTCATCGCACAATAAGGAGACATGGCTCCGCACTGAGGCACCTCAATGCCAGTCACGCGCACGTGGGGAGGCCCTCCGGGTCGAGCACCCAGCGCCTGCAGGAGAGCGGGCCACTGGAGTGCGTGACCGATGCCAAAGTCGATGATGTGAACCCGGGGTTCGTCCGCTAGAGCTTCGAGAATGGCGCTGTTGGCTGCGACCTGGCCGAAGGTCAGGAAGGGTGTTGCGTTCACCAGCACCTAAGGGGACAGGGATGGGGAGGGAAAAACGGGCATGCACAGTCGACAATGGAAGGAACAGAGCAATGATAGCTAGCACGAGGGCGTGTCTAGTTTTGAGGCGCCTCAAAACTAGACAGTCGAAAATGGAAGGAACAAACAGAGCAGTGATAGCTAGCACGAGGGCGCGCCTGCATACAAAAGGTGCCCGCAGCAAAGTGAAACAACTCCAGCAGTGTGCGGTTACGGTTACAGTCGACATTGGGAGGGGAAACAGGAGCAGGCAGGCACATCCCTACAGGCGCGCGAGACCACCACTCCTGTGGATTCCCGCAGCATGGAAACCATCCACCGACTGGAAATCAGATCAGCTTCGCCCCCCTTAAAAAAAGAATGGCGCTTACCTGAAATGACTCCAGCAGTGTGCGGTTGCAGTCGACATTGGGGGGAGAAACCGGAGCAGGCACACCCCTATAGGGCGGGGGAACCACCAGCCCTGTGGCTTCCCCTGGCATAAAAACTGTCCCCCTACTGGAAATCAGAGCAGCTTCGTCTGGAGTCAACTCCCCCGCCTCTTGCCTCTGCTCAAACGGCCGCCCTCCCTGCTCTCCTTGCTCTAGAAACGGCCCTCCTTGCTCTCCCTGGTCTGAAAACGGCCCTCCCTTGTCTAGAAACGCCTCCCCTTGCTCCCCCACATCCCCTCCTGCAGCTGCATACCCTTGACCAAAACCCGCCCCATTCCCTCTCCCCTCCCTACACTCCTCCTCCTCCCCCCTTTCCGCTCCTCCCGCCCGTTCCTCCCCGCCAAACCTCCCCATAACCCCGGAGCTCGCATCGAACCTGTGAAACAGGTTCGGGGAGTGCTTCGGCGGAGCCCCGGCAACCCTAGCAATCAGCCCTTCAAGAAAATACGCAGAGAGCCTCTGAGTGACCGTCCCATAGACTGAGGCCACGTCATTAAGGCTTGAGAGCAGCTGGTGCACGCGTGCCTGGTCGCCTGAGACAATGGCCTTGGCGACTGAGACGAGGAGGGCGATTGGGTCTCCCTTCTTGGCGCATTCTCCCCATGAGTCGGGGCCAATGCAGCACGCTGCTTTCTGTGTGCCAAGCTGGTTGTTTAGCTGCTCCGGCGCTGGTGCTGCTGCTTCTGCTCCGTCCCCGACTCCTGCTGCTCCTGCTGCTGCTGCTGCTAATCCTCCTACTGCTGCTTCTCTCGAAAATATATCATCTCCAGCGTCAGCTGTTCCATTTTGATCCGCTGCTACTAGCTGCGGATCCCTAGCAGCAGCATTAGCTGTACCCGCAGCAATTGCAGCAGCATCAGCACCAGAAGCAACAGCAACAGCACCAGAAGCAACAGCAACAGCACCAGCACCATCAGCATCAGCGGCACTTGTAGCAGAGTCACAACATGCACACATGCACACCCCTCCATCCCCTTCCCCATCCCCCCCAACACAGCAGCACCCCTTTTTCTTGCTTTCCCCCTGACTACTCGTCCTCTTCCTCTCCTCCCACCGCTTAGTACACTCCCCATGAAGCTTCCTTAGAGCTTCCTCAGCCTGCCGAGCCTCTTCCGGAGTCACCTTCCCCGCCCAAGCCTGCCTCCCGCCCTCCCCTTCCTCCAGCAGCTTCGGGCTCCAAGGCGCAGTGGCTTCCGAGCCTGAACTCGAGGTCGTCGCCGAACGTCCCCTGCTGCCTTGGCGGTTGCTATTAGTCACGGTTGCAGTTCCAGTGGTGGTGGTGTAATTTGTCGTATCTGTTGTATCAGTTAAGCTCCCGCTGTTAGTATAGACCATCCCCTTCCCTCGATCCATAAGCTCTTGCACAAAGGCAACCATATCTGCATCTCCTGCTCCTGAAGCTACTCCTGGTGCTGCTCCTGCTCCTGCTGCTCCTGCTTCTGCTCCACCCATATCATCCACCATCATATCGTCAAAAGCATTTCCGCCACTACCACCAGCACCGCCGCCAGCTGCAGCAGAAGGGGCGGAAGCAGGAGCCTCAAGGGGAGGAGTGGGCGCGATCGCCACAGGAAACATATCTTCTAACTCTACAAACGCGTTATCAAGCCCATCTAAACCACGCAGAAACTCCTCTACACCGAGATCCGCCCATCCTGACCCTCCATCCAGCCCCATCTCGGCAATCCCAAGGCCACTGCTGCCACCGCTCCCAACCGTACCTACACCAGGAGCAGCACTATCAATCCCAGCATCAGTAGCAGCACCCAAACCGAAACCGACACTAGCACCAGCAGTAGCACCAGCATCACTACGAGAAGCATCTAGATTCGTTTCTGGGCCAGAATCAGTAGAAACATCCATAGATGTGCCTTCCCCAGTCCACCCCTGTCCCGCACTGCTAGTTCCCGCACTGTTCATATCTGTACTGTTCATCTCTGTACTCGAGTCAACCTGTAGCTCTACAGGCTCGTCCAAACCTTCTACTAACAGGTCAGCCAATAACGGATGCATGGACCCGCTCCCAGGCACACTGTTCACATTCCGACCACTATCAGTGTTGCCGTAACCACTACTACTGTTACCGTTTCCATTGTCCCCGCCGCCCATGCCTCTCGGCATCCTCCCAGCCGTCACTCTGCTCCCAGTTTGCCTGTGAGAGCCCTCCAAATTGCCTGCTGCTGCTGCTGTTTCTCCTCCCCCTCCTCTTGCTGCTGCTGCTCCTGCTGTTCCTGCTGCTCCTGTTCTTGCTGTTGAAGCAACGCCCAATCTGCTGCCTGTAGCATTTCCCTTAGTCGCTGAGACGATCACGTTCATAGCCTCCGAAACTCCTCCCCGCTGCCCTCGCCTTTCCGCACCTGTCCTCACCTCTCTCAAACCCTCCGCACCGAGGCCCAATCCGGTACCCGAATCCATTACATTGGGGTTGCTACCCAGCAATTCTTGAACCAGCGAATCGAATGTTACTTCTTCCAAGCCTGGCGCCGAGCCTGGTGGTGAACCTGAAGTTCCCGAACCCTGCTGAGCCTCGTTCCGAACCTGTACGCCAGACACGGCAGTGCCCACTGACTCCGACGGCGACGACCCCGCATTCCGCCCAGTCACCCCGAGCCTGTTACCCAACCTAGCACGAGGATCCGAACCTGCCTGTCCGGCATGCCTGGAACCCACGCGCTGGTGTGATCCACCCGAGCCTAAGCCTGGAAGCCCTGAAAAACGTGCTTGGCCTGCAGAATTTCCCGCACCTGCGGCACCAGCCAGACCTTGGGAACTCCGCGGGCTTCCCGGGCCACTGCCGGGGCTGTAGGTTCGTTTCCAGAGCTGCTGCAGGGATTGCGTGAGATTCCCCCCCGCGCGGGAGGGTCTTTCGGGGGAGCGAGTCCGCTTCGGGCGGACGGTGGACGGCGAAATTCCGTCCGCCGCCGACGGTGTTCCCGCTGGTTCACAAGGAGGTAGAAGAAAAAAATCCCGAGGTGAAACAGGACACACGTAAACGTTGAAATATTGAAAAGCATGGAGTGCCAACGCTACTTGTAAGAATAACGACCACGGAACGAACGGAATTCGGTGACACCAACGATAGTAAGCGTCTTGTTGGATAGAAACACGGAGAATGGTCAAGTTATGAAAAAGGGAAACGAGCTTATACCTAGCGGCCGTCGAAGCGAGGCAGCATCCGGAATCTGAGATTGAAGCCACGCCTTCTGAAGCCGCGACTCAAGGTCGGTGGGTAGGTCAGCGCGGGATTTCGCGAGCGTGGGACCGACGACGTGCGGATGGCTGCTGCCATTAACCGTCGGAAGCACTACTTTCTTCTTCTGCTGCGCGTGATGGTCCATTACGTCTCGTCTATTCGTGACTTTTGATGCCGGCAAGGAGTGATATTGCAACTTTCGAGGATAACGTAGCGTAGCGTCGTAGTGTCGGTCATGAAACAAGAGCTGGGAGCGCTAGGAGTCGGAACTACCAGTTACTTGACTGTGGAGGACCTTGAACACACGATGACCTAAAATGCCTCCTCGAGTTTCTGAAGTGTGACTTAGAAATTCAGGAATTGGAATGGGATGAGGAATTTCCAGTTATCAAGTAGGAAAACTCGGGACGTGTTTCCATAGCAAATATCGAATTGTATTTTGGAGTCATCGCGGGACAAGCTTCAACCTCTGCGACAAATTCTCACTTATCTTTGCTAAACACCTCCAGATAGTGTCTGTCATGTTACGTTCTGGATCACGAGTCATGGCAGAACCTTCGAGAGGGAGACGAAGCTTCGGCGACCTCCATGACTGTGAAATTTTACACACGCAATGCTGTACTACTGTCTATCGAATGCATGAGTTGCATATTCAATTCGAAGCACTCACTAGAAAGGATGTATTGACCTGCCCAACTCCTCTGTCCTACCACGTGTCCCTAGAAGATCGCAGGTGGTGCAAATCGGCGGGAATTGCAACCAATAACATATTCACTATCTGAAGCATGCATAACCGTTCGATGGATCTACGTGGCGCAGAGTGGCATCGTGTGCAGCAATACCATCACCACGCTCTTGCAGCGCCGCACCATACGAATATCCAAAAGCCCAAGAATGCCCGCATTGAGAAAAGTTACCGTACTGCACCGCACTCAGATGTGTCAGGTGAACACCCGAAGATTGCGTCAAAAGCATTCCCTAGGGAGGGCTTGCCAGTTCCAGGGTCACGGGATTTTCGAGACGAGAATCTCCGTCGGTGAGAATCTCCGTCAGTGGGCTTTTCAGCTGTAGTAGCCCAGTCTCGTAACCGAGAGTCACGGGAGTCTCGATTCTCGAGTTACGGGAGTTCAAAAAGTAGGCGAGTGTTGCGCTTCGTTTACACTGGTCGTGTCGTACCACCATTAGGACGCATACTTCAGCCGCCTCGTCCAGCAACCACGTCAGATCGACAATTACCACGCAGCTGATAGTCGCTTGTCGATATCGGAATCTCGTTAGTGAAGGGTTCGCTTTACGAAATATTGAAGTTCGCATTGGCCAGCCACTTTTTGTAACATATTTTGTGCAGCACCTGTAGTGGTTAGTTCGCGCTTTTAGTGCTTAGTGCAACAAAACCGTTCTCTGGTAGCTCCCGGCGGTGACTGCTTTGTACATCTGGCACTTGCACATCCGACAAACTCTCGACACGTTCCAGGAATTCAGCGTGTTAGCGGACTTTCCGCATCGTTTTGTATAATTATTAACGAGTCTATAGATTGCGCTTCTGGACACACTCCGAGCACATACTTATGGCGAGGATGAGCGGTGGGCAGCAGCGCGTGCAGGCGCCGCGACGGATCGGCGAGTACGAGGTTGGGGGAACGCTTGGCGAAGGGACGTTCGCGAAGGTGAAATACGCGGTGCACGCGACGACGGGCGAGCCCGTGGCGATGAAAGTGCTGGATAAGGAGAAAATTATTCGGCATAAAATGGTGGACCAGGTAGGCTGCCAGGGCTGTGAGGGTTGTGCGAGTTGTGAGGGCTGTGAGGGAAGGGACAGGCAAACTTATGCAGGTTCTGATAATGGCACAACGACTGGGGGCGATGAGAGTGCTGGATAACGAGAAGATAATTGGAAATGGCAGGCCAGGTAGGGAGTGGGGCAGGACCTCGCGTTCCAGCGATTTTTTGGCAATGATGTTCGTCGTTCCACGTTCTGATGCTGATAAGCGAGACCCTGCGTTCCGTCCCGTGGGCCCTAACCTGATTTACTTGATGGCTCTGCGTGGGTGTGTGTATGTGTGCAGATCAAGAGAGAGATTTCGGTGATGAAGCTCGTCCGGCACCCTAATGTGGTGCGGCTGTATGAGGTGAGCGAGAGTACTTTCTGAAAGGGTGGCTTGCAAACATGAATAGGAAAAAGTATGAAATCTGAGCTTCATCCTGACCTCTTCCTTCCCCCCTCTCCCAACCCTTTCTCCCCCCTTTCAGGTTCTCGCATCTCGCACCAAGATCTATATCATTCTCGAATTCGTCACAGGCGGAGAGCTCTTTGACAAGATTGTGAGTGCAAGCAAAGCCGTCTGGCTACGTTCTTGGTTAATGGGAGCGACTTCACGACTCACAGAGAGAAATGAGATCGATTCTGGTTTATTCTTCTAACCTTGAGAGGCTGAGACCGAGTTGTTGAGTCATATTTAGGTTTATTCTAATGCTACCTTGTGGTGAGACCGAGTTGTTGAGTCATATTTAGGTTTATTCTAATGCTACCTTGTGCTGAGAAATGAGATCGATTCTGGTTTATTCTTCTAACCTTGAGAGGCTGAGACCGAGTTGAGTCATATTTAGGTTTATTCTAACGCAGTAGGCACACCTACTTTCTGGGCGCAGGTGAACAAGGGTCGGCTGGAGGAGGAGGAGGCACGGCGGTATTTCCAGCAGCTGATAGACGCCATGGAGTATTGCCACAGCAAAGGCGTGGCCCACCGAGACCTCAAGGTAGGTGGAATGCTATAAATCCTATATGGGCGAGTTAGACTAGTGGGTTGACACAACCGCGGGCTCAAGCATCTCAAGGGAGGGGGTCGCGCTCAGCTCAACGGGAGGGCCCAGCCTGTCTAACCTCCTTCTTTGTTTGTGTGCTGCGTGTTCCCCGTCCCGTCTGCCAGCCTGAGAATCTTCTGCTAGATTCGAAGGATAATATAAAGATTTCGGATTTCGGCCTCAGCGCTCTGCCACAGCAAGTCAGGGTGAGAGTCGTGCTGCTGCGTTCACGACTTTGTTGCAAAAAAAAACGCTCAATTCTTGCTGAACTCATGTATATTTGGATCGATTTGCTCGTCCCTATCTTCCCTGCGTTGGCCTGTCTATTGTCCCTCATCCTGGTCAACCAAGTGGCGTAAGTTCACCTTCACAACTACTGTAGCCTACTCTGTGTCTCTTGTCAGAACTTCTCATCTTGTCGACTCAGAGTGGATTCAAACTTGTTGGAATTGCAAAATCTCAGCATTGTGCAGTTTCCTCTTTCTTGGTGTACTTGTGTTTCTGCAGGCGGACGGCTTGCTCCACACCACGTGCGGCACGCCCAACTATGTTGCTCCAGAGGTAGGAGGCACGTGGGGCTTTGGGCGCATGGCTTTCCATCCACAGGCCTGTGGCTTCGTGCCTGTGGCTTCGTGCCTGTGGCTTCGTGCCTGTGGCTTCGTGTTTGTGGCTTCGTGTTTGTGGCTTCGTGCCTGTGGCTTCGTGCCTGTGGCTTCGTGCCTGTGGCTTCGTGCCTGTGGCTTCGTGTTTGTGGCTTCGTGTTTGTGGCTTCGTGCCTGCTGGCTTCGTGTTTGTGGCTTCGTGTTTGTGGCTTCGTGCCTGCTGGCTTCGTGTTTGTGGCTTCGTGTTTGTGGCTTCGTGCCTGCTGGCTTCGTGTTTGTGGCTTCGTGTTTGTGGCTTCGTGCCGGTAGCCTTTCACCAACTCCAGATGGGTCGTCTCGTTTCTTAAGATTTTGCCATCTCTTGATGTGTCTCGGAGAGATTTGCTTTTGTTCCGATGATTCGTTTCGTGTACAGCATGGCTTACGATGGAGCTCGTCACGCTTATCCCTCTTGGATCAAGGGTTTGGAAATAACTGGGAAGCTTCTGTAGTGATACGGTGTCGAAATGAATTGGGAAGCTTTTGCTGCCTGCAAGGAGAGGCTTATTTGAACTTTGGACTGTTATCAGCTCTCCCTATTCTTCCCCCCCCTCCCCACACACATGCACAGGTGCTGAGTGACAGAGGGTACATCTGGGTCTTGGCAGACATCTGGTCGTGCAGAGTCATTCTCTACCTCCTCCTCCTCACCAGTCCTCCTTCCATTCCTCCCGCCCTTCACAATTCCTTCCCTCTCCCCCCTTTCACATGCACACATGCACAGGTGCTGAGTGACAGAGGGTACAGTGGGGTCCTGGCAGACATCTGGTCGTGCAAAGTCATTCTCTCCACGTCCTTTGAGCCACTTTATAGGCCTTCAGAGCTCTCCTCTCCTCTCCCCTCCCCCACACACACTCTCAGGTGCTGAGTGACAGAGGGTACAACGGGGTTCTGGTAGACATCTGGTCGTGTGGGGTCATTCTCTACGTCCTGCTTGTTTCCCCCTCTCCCCCCCCCCCTTCCTTCCCTCGCACACACACGACACACACACTCTCAGGTGCTGAGTGACAGAGGCTACAACGGGGTTTTGGCGGACATCTGGTCATGCGGGGTCATTCTCTACGTGCTCCTTGCCGGCTTCCTCCCCTTCGATGAGCCTGACGTCCCTTCTCTCTACAAGAAGGTACCTGCTCTCTCTCCCTGCTCTCTCTCACTCACTGCTCCATTTTCTCTTCTCTTCAAAGTCATTCTCTACGTCCTCCTTGCTGGCTTTCTCCCCTTTGACGAGCCTGACGTGCCTTCCCTGCACAAAAAGGTACGTGCTCTCTCCCCCTGCTCCGCTCTCTCCCCCTGCTCTGCTCTCTCCCCCTGCTCTGCTCTCTCCCCCTGCTCTGCTCTCTCCCCCTGCTCTGCTCTCTCCCCTTGCTCTCTCGCCCGAGGTGCCTCAAAACTCGCTTGTTCAAAGTTCTGCTTCCAGATACCCCTTCGCACCCACCCCACCTCTTCCCGTCTCCTCCAGTTATATTTTCCACACAGATCACTTTTGAGTCGACTCTTAAGTTATCTCGCTTGCTCATAGTTCTGCTTTCTGATCCACACGCACCCCCACCTCTTTCCCTCACCTCCACTTATGCTTTCCACACAGATCACTTTTGAGTCGACTTAAACGTGAACTCGCTGTTCAGATTTCTGCTTTCTGATCGTCCACGCACCCCCACCTCTTCCCTTCTCCTCCACTTATGCTTTCCACACAGATCCAACGGTCGGATTTTGGGTTCCCCACGTGGTTCTCTGCTGGAGCAAAGAGGCTCATCACTGGCATTTTGCAGCCCAACCCTAAACTGGTGAGTTAGCAGAGTGTGGGTTGCCTTGTCTTGTCTTGATGGAAAAAAAGAGTTTTCATTTTCAGACGTACATCCTAGCGAATTCCCCATGTGGTTCTCTGCTGGGGCAAAGAGGCTCATCACTGGCATTTTGCAGCCCAACATCACTGTTTTTTCTTGCCTGGTTATGGTTTGACAAGAAGGCGTGTAACGCCTTGCTGCTAGTCCCTCTTTCTAGACACAAACAACAACTGATGATTGAGTAAACTTTGAATTCACTTCTCGTGTCCGTCTTCCCCCCAACACTAATTTACGTGGGCAGAGGTATCAATACCAGGAAGAAAGGAAGGATACATGGTTCTTGACCAACTATGTGCATGTGCTATGTCAACGTAATCATTCTTCCACACTCTTCTTCCTCACCCTTCCCGCCCCTTGAACCATTCCCACCCGCGTGTGCAGAGGTACCGGTATCAGGAAATAAAAAAGGACCCATGGTTCCGCACCAACTATGTTCCTGTGCCGGTCCCTGTTGATACTGCTGACGACAATATGAATGATGTTGATGCTGCCTTCGGTGCTGCTCCTGCTGCTCCTGCTGCTGCTGCTGGTGCTGCTGCTGCTCCTTCTGGTGCTGTCAAATCCGCTGCTCCCGGTGGTGCTGCTTCTGGCGCTGCTTCTCGTGCAGCCAAGTCTGCTGCTGGCAGTGCTGGTAGTGCTGGTAGTACCCTTGTTGGTAGTGAGAATGCGTCTGGGACTTGCAAAGGCAGTGGTTCAAGTGCGGGCACCAGTGGTTGTGCTTCATGCTCTGAGCAGCAGCAGCAGCATCAGAATGAGCAACAGGTTCAGAGCGGTTTGGAGGGGCCTGGGGACCTGAAGGGTTCACACAGAGGGGGGTTGTCTTGTCAGCTGAGAGGCATGACTCCTGTGCTCAATTACAAGAGTGGAAGAGGAGTGGAGCACACTCCATTTGGTGTGAAGAGTGATACCAACAAGAGTAGCGGAAGCAACAACAGTAGCAGCAGCAGCAGCAGCAGCAGCAGCAGCAGCAGCAGCAGCAGCAGCAAAAGCACTGCCACCATCAGTGCCGCCACCACCAGCACCAGCGTAAGCGGGAGCAGGAGCAGCGGCAACAACAGTCCAACGATCATTCATGGGTTTTCACTCAACAGCAGCAACAGCACTAGCAATGCATGCCATGGTGACCCCAGCAGCTGTAGCCAGGATACCAGCTCATGCTACAACCGAAGCTGTAGCTCTAGCCAGAACAGTACTGCCTGCTGCTGCCCAAGCTGCAGTCACAGCACCCACAGCACGAGTGTGTGTTACAACCCCGGCTGTAGCACGCACGCCAGTGTGTGTCAGGGCGCGACGGCGTGCCAATACCCCGGCTGTAGCGAGGATTTTCCCTGTAGCGAGAATCTGCCGTGTAGCAGTGCATGTGAGGAGGCACATGCAGATAGGCATCTTTTGGCTGCAGGCGTGAGAGGGGTAACGAGTGTGACTGTAAGGGGTATGAGGGGCAGCAGAGGCGGGGTTGGTGGGACGATTGAGGAAGGGGAGGCAGAAGGGGAGGATAGTGGGGATGACAGTGGGGGGGAAGGGGGAGGAGGGGGAGGAACGGGGGGAACGGGAGGGGAATGGGGAGGGGTGAGAGGAGGGGTAGGGAGGGCGGATGGGGCATGGGAGAAAGGATCGAGACCAGAGACGTTAAATGCTTTTGCTCTATTAAATTTGGCTCAAGGATTCGACCTTGGGGGGTTGTTTAGCAGTCCGGCCCTCTTTGGTGGGAAACGGGAAGGACAGAGACCCTGGGAGAGTGGAGCAGGAGGAGGGGGAGACAGAAGAGGAGGGGAGGGAGGAGTAAGTGCGGAGAGCGTGTCGAAAGTGCGGGGGAGGGAGGAACGAATGGAGGAGGAGGAAGTGTGGCGTTATAAGCAGGCTCGGTTCTTGTCACATGCGCCTGTGGGGCGTCTGGTTGGGAGGGTGGAGGCAGCAGCAGGGGAGCTGGGCTGGCGCGTGGAGAGAGAGGGATTCAAGGTGGGTGGCGAATGAACTGGATTTTTGCTTGCGCTCATGTTTTCCTTCGCCCTCCCCTTTCCCTTGTCCCCCTCTTTCCCTCGCCCCCCTGTCCCTCGGGCCACCCCCCCTTTTTCACAACCCCTCCCAAGGAAAAAGAGGGAATGAAGCAACGTGTCTACTATTATTTCTCTTACTACTCGTCTGATTCGTCCTCTGTCCAAGCTCACCTTGGTGATCCCTCCTTGCCGCTTTTCCCTCTTCTGGTCTTTGCCTTACTGGACAGTTTCGACTTGAGTTGAGACACGCAGCACTAGCACCAACAGCAGTAACGACACCAGCAGCAGCAGCAGCAGTAACGACACCAGCTACCGATAAAGCAGTTGCTCTCCCTGTAACAGCTACGTCAGCAGCAGTAGCACGAGAATCAGATGCAACCACACCCTCAGTGGCAGCAGAAACTGCAGTAGCTGCAGAAACTGCAGAAACGGCAGAAGCTGCAGAAACTGCAATAACGAGAGACCCAACAGATGCAAGTGAAGCCACAGACGAAGTTGTCGCAGCAGCAGAAGCAAGAGGAGCAGATGCAGCCACACCCTCAGTGGCAGCAGAAACGGAAGATATGGAAGAACCAACAGAAACTGCTGATGCTGCTGCTTCTCCTGCTGCTGGTGGTGCTGCTGCTGCTTCTATTTCGGCTGGAGATGTGGAGATGTCACCTGCTGTGGCCAGGCTCTCTGTTGTTGCTGCTGTGGTTGTGGAGGTAAGGGAATTGCCGGCAGCACGATTGTAGGTGTGAGTGCATGGAACTCTGTCGTTGCTTGCAGCTGTAGTTGTGGAGGTAAGGATGGGTCCTTCTGTGGGCGTAAGTACTTACATGCCTGCATGCCTGTGCATCCTCCTTGCCCCCATTCAGGTGTTTGCCATTCTCCCCAGCCTCCTCATGGTGGAGATGCGGCATGAATTGGGCCGCACACAGGAGTCTCTGCAGGTACGTTGCTCGTTGCATGGGTGCATGTGCACGCGCGCACATTCATGCAGCTGCTTGTTGCTCGCTATTCACCCCAGCCTTCTTATGGTGGAGATGCGGCATGAATTGGGCCGCACACAGGAGTCTCTGCAGGTACGTTGCTCGTTGCATGGGTGCATGTGCACGCGCGCACATTCATGCAGCTGCTTGTTGCTCGCCATTCTCCCCAGCCTCCTTATGGTGGAGATGCGGCATGAATCGGGGGGCACACAGGAGTCTATCCAGGTGCGTTGCTCGATGCATAGGTGCATAGGCGCAGGTGCTTATTCACACTATTGCTTGTTTGCCATTCTCCCCAGAGGTGGAGATGCGGCATGAGTCGGGCGGCTCACAGAAGTCCTTGCAGGTGCGTGGCAGTTACAAGATCGTAAGAATGCATGTGTGCATGTGTGCATGTGTGCCTGTGTGCATGTGTGCATGTGTGCATGTGTGCATGTGTGCCTGTGTGCATGTGTGCATGTGTGCATGTGTGCATGTGTGCCTGTGTGCATGTGTGCCTATCCATGCAACTCTGTGTTTGCCATTCTCCCCAACCTCCCCGGCCTCCTCATGTTGGAGATGCAGCACAAAACAGGAGTCCTTGCTTCTGTGATCGCATCCCATCCCATCTCATCCCTTCCCTTCCCACCCTACCGCATCCCACCCCACCCCATCCTCGCTACCCAGATGCGCCATGCACTACGCGCCAAGCTTCAAGACCTGATTACAGCCCCACACACCCCAAACACAGCAAACGATAAAAGCAGCAAGGGCAAGGGCACGGGGCTTAAGCAAACCCGCCCGCGGCAGCTTGTAAGTGCTCTACCTGCTATATTGTTTTTTTTACGCAAGTAAATGGGACCCACCAATCAAGGAGCCTCGTTTCTATGCATGGTGTTCCCCCCCCCCTCCCCTCCTCCCCCCACACCCCCTCCCACCCCGTTTCTAGACATTTTTAAACTCCCACTCCCTTCATGTTTCTTTCATTCCTTTATTTTATTCAGGCTGCTTATCCCACAGGTGACTTCTGAGTCAACTCAATTATTTTTCAAGAATGATTCAAAACTCCGACTCCTCCCCGATTCTCCTGTGGCTTGTCCTGTTCAGGCCGCTTATCCCCGCATGGGGATCATTCCACGTGTGTAACCACCACAGTGTTGCATGTAAGCGTTTGGCATCACAGAATCAGCTGGTGAAATGTTACCTGGCAGCAGTGAGGGAGGGTGTAACAACAAGGGCAGTACCGGCGCTACTATGCAGTACAATCTGAAAATCTTCCTGCGGTTGATGATTCTTTTTCCTCCTGTGTTATAGTATTGCAGTGCATATCAGCTAGCTGTTCAGCATGTAGATATTAATGTTAATACATACCCCTAAGTGGGTCCTATTTCTGCATACAATGTTTTGCAATGCAATCACTGAACCAGTGTAAGGCTGTAAGCCCATTCTTATCCGTGTAAACAACAGCACAAAGCAATGGCTTCTTTTCTTTACAGTGCAGTTACTTATGGGATGTTTGAAAACCACATGCGGCACATGATCATAAACAGGTAATTACAATTGCAGTTTTGGTCATTGATCTATACCCAAACCCAAACCTAGGCGAATGGAGGTAGGATGTATTAAGAGTCAATTGGTAGATGCCTATGGCATTGTACCACATATGAACCTTCTAGGGGGTAGTGAGGAGATCCTGCAACGAGGATAATTGTGGGGGCAGCTCCACCCATCCCCCTGCCACTAGCACCAGGAAAAGCCAGACAGGGAAGATTCCCAGAAGCAGAACGAGACTAAAACCAAGCGGGGGACCTGGCATAGAGGGATGAAGGTGGAAAAGGGCAGGAGGACATGTTTCGAACATCAGACATTGAAAGCAGCACAGGCTGAACCCAAGTGGGGGCCCTGGTGTCGAGGGATAGTAAAGATGGGAAGTGGCAACACTGAACAAGCCACCAGCGACCACTCATTACCGTAGTCTGCCACTCACCACCACTCACTATCACTGGCTACCACTCACCACCACCCACCACCACTGACAAGTAGAACTCTCCAGTGGCATGGCATTCTGCTTCAACATGGTTCCAGACCCTAAACCTTGATATAGAGCATGGCTCGTCTCGTTATGAGCCACGACAAGGCAGCAGGCTTGGGTTGACGAGCCAGCAGGCTTGGGTTGACGAGCCAGCAGGCTTGGGTTGACGAGCCAGGCCATCAGATTAAGCACCAGATTAAAAGGCAGATTAAAAGGCATATTAAAAGGCAGATTACAAGGCAGATTAACTGGCTTGCTGCTTGTTGATAGGGGGCGAGTTGAGACGCGCCGTGCCAGTTTTTTAACTCTTGACTCTCTCGCTCACTGCCTTAGTGACTTCTTGCTTAAACCTACTCCTACGCAACTGCTGCTCACTGGAAAATGTCCCAAGATCTCTCTCGCTCACTTCCTTGGTGACTTCTCTCAACCTCAATCCTTTTTGTCCTCAACCCAAAACCCTGAACCACTTCTCTCATCTCTCACCCTTCCTGGCGTCTGTCACCCTTCACATCCCCTCACTCACTTACCTGCCATTTCCCCCTCTCCCTCCTTCCTTATCAACTTCTCCTATGCCAACCCACATCCACCCTCGCATAATTCACCCTCCTTTCTCACTCACACATACTCTTTTACCCACCCTTCACACCCCTTAACACTCACCTGCCATTTCATCCTCCCCTTCCTTCTTGATAGTCTTCTCCTCCAACCATTCGCCCACTCTCTTGGCGGACTTCACCGCTTCCCACTCCTCCACACCCCCGCTGAGCTGCCCAAACCCCTGCTCATCCAGTTCATCCAAAATCGACTTCTGGTTGGAATTAGGGTCCCTGGGGGGTCAAGAAATGGGGAGGGAGAGGCGGGCGCATGGGGAAGAGGGGTATTAAGTCACCTGAAATTTTATTCACCGCTTCCCACTCCTCCATACCCGCTCTGAGCTGCCCAAACTCCTGCTCATCCAGTTCATTCAAAATCGACTTCTGGTTGGAATTAGAGTCCCTGGAGAGAGGAAGGTGGAAAGGAGGGAGGCGGGGAGAGGGGGGTGAAGAGGAGAGGGGGGTGAAGAGGAGAGGATTAGGGAAAATGGTGTCTCAACTTTTGAGTCGACTCAAAAGTCAACTCAGACCCGAACCCCTGCTCATCCAGTTTCATCCAATATCGACTTCTGGTTGGAATTAGGGTCCCTGAGATATGGAAAAAAAAAGGGGATGAGGAAAGCAGGGCAGGAGGTGGTGAGTGAGGAGAGTTGATTCAAGAATCGGCTACCACTTTCCACTCCTCCATACCCCCTCCCGATCTTACCACACCCCTGCGCGCTCATCCAGCTCGATTGGTGGGAGGGGGGGGGGGGGGGGGGGGGGGGAAGGTGGGAGGAGGGTGAAAGGGGAGAGGGGGGAGGAGGGGAGGGGGTTGAAGGGGGGAGGTTGCGATTGGAGTTGCTGTCGAGAGAGAGAAAAAAAAACAAAAACAAAAATATAATTAAACGGGTGACTGTCAATTCCCACCTTCTGCGAAGCTGCGGGCGCGCGGAAGGGGGAGGAGGAGCGGAAGGCCTGGGGGAAGCGGAACCTCCTCCCTTGGGGGAGGCGGGAACCCCGTCCCCCCGTTGCACCCCGAGAATCTCTCGCTCCAGATCCGACAAACGACGCCGCCCCCAGACCTGATCGTCCCGCTTCTCCTGGCGACTTTCCTGCCCGTTCGCTACCGCCGCATTTTCCTTCGCGCCGCCTTTTCTGACGTCCTTAATCTCTCCTGCCCCATCCCCAGACCCGCCATTCGCCTTCGCCGCGCCGTTCTCGCCTCCAGGCGTGTTTCCGGGAGCCGCGTCGCATGTCACTAGAACGCGCTTTAATCGCCTAGCTGAAGGAGACGGCTGTGGAACGGAGACGGTAATTAATCGCCTAGTTCTGAAGGAGGCGTTGCGCGAGAGTGCTTCGCGCAACGAGAGACGGGCGCGAGGTGTAGGGAGGGGTGCGCAAGTGAGCGGGGCTGCAAGTTGGAGCGCGTTTGCCGCCATGACAGAACGGAAAAGGAGTGTAGAGACGAATCGAACGGGTTTGACCGAGCTACGTGTGACACTAAATGCCCAACTGAGAAGTATACTACACACTAATGAGTGAGCCTTGGAGAAAATGCCCGACTAAGGACGTGTCTCATGTGAAGGGTCCGCTGGATCTGGTCCGCGACAGAATCTATACACCGGCCCGGGGTTCTGGTCCGACGGACCCACTTGGCGGACCAGCGTTGGACCAGACACGGACTGGTCTGCCTGATGCGTCGCGCTTCGGGCTGCACAGTATTTGCGAGATGCAGCAGTAGCGACGAGTTTGAAATTGAGCTACCAGTTGTCTTCGTCTGCACAAAAATCTCACGCGAAACTTACAAAACAAGAAATTTCGCCAAAAACAAATGTTTCGCCACCTACTGTTTACGGACCAGGCGCGGACCGGTCTGGAGGGCCAAATAAATGGCACCGTTTTAGTGCCATTCGAACGGTATAACGGGGCTACAAGCCCGCATCCTGGTCCCGGTCAGCCCTGGTTCACGCGCTGATTCTTGAGCTGGTCCGTCAGGTCCGAGCCGGACCCACGTGGACTCAGACATCTGAGACACCCTCTAATTTATGTGTGTGTGTGTGTGTTTTTTTTTTTTGGCGCGAAGACTAATTCTTGGGTTGCCGAGCTCAGCGCCCGTACTTGTTAAAAGCATTGTCGTTCAAAGTACGACTTCGATTGCATGATACAGGTTGGATACTTTAAAAACATCCGTATTCTCTGTGCGTTTGTCATGTTAATGAGCACCTCAACTCTCTCCTCATTACGTCTTCTCTTTGCCCAATCCCACTACCTGTCAAACCAATATAATTTACTTCAAGTGTGATTTCCAGAGCACTAGCAGAAGACTTGCCCCCTCCTACTCCTGCTGCAGCTTCTGCTGCTGCCAATTCTGCAAGTAATGCCTTGGTACTACTTCAATTCTCCATTATGCCATCACTCTTCTAGCCCATTTTTCACCACATCTCCTCGATTACCCAAACATCCCCACAGCCGCCGCCTCCTCTAATATATCCAGATCATCAGCTGGATACCTGGCCGCCGCTGCTGCTGCTTCTTCACGCCTCTGCTCCACTTCCCCTCTCTCACCCTTTTATCCTTGTTACCCTTCGTTCCAGTCCCCTTCACTCCGCCCACTAACCCCCCAAACACCCCCACAACCGCCTCCTCTAATATCTCCAGAGCATTAGCAGGAAACCTGGCCGCCGCTGCTGCTGCAAATGCTTCTTCTTCTTTCTGACTACTCCTTTATACCCTTCTTTCCAGTCTCCTTCCCTCCTCCCAATACCCCCCCAAACACCCCCACAGCCGCCTCCTCTTCCAAAATCTCGATAGCATAAGCAGAAGATCTGGCCGCTGCTGCTGCTGCTGTTCTTACTTCTTGACCTTCTTCCCTCCAACATCTCCCCCACCTCGCACCACTCCTCCAAACACCCCCACAGCCGCCTCTTCTTCCAGAATCTCCAGAGCATCGGCAGGAGATCTGGCCGCTGCTGCTGCCCGCCGCACTCCAATTGGCCGGTCGCCCTCCTCCTCGCCCACAGAGCACCATGTGGCGCGAGCCCATTGGTCCATGTGGTACGCCACCTGCTCTGGCACCTCATCATGGGGGCAGTGACCTGTGATGGAGAAGTGGGAGGGAAAGGGGGAGGGAAAGAGAGAGGGAAAGGAGGGGAAGGGGAGTGGGTGTGCGGGGCAATGGAGATGGGATGTGAATGGGAGGCATGTCTAGAGAACCAGTCATTGGTCCATGTGGTAGGCCACCTGCTCTGACACCTCATCATGGGGGCAGTGCCCTGTGGTGGTTGGGGAAGGGAAGGGGGGAAGTGAGGGGGTGGAATGTGGGGGAATGGAGATGGGAGTGAAAGGAAAGCCTGTGTGTGCAAAACCAGGCCATTGGTCCATGTGGCGTGCCACCTGCTCTGACACTTCATCATGGGGAGCAGTGCCGTGTGGAGTCAAGCTGATAAGGTGCGCGTTCACGCAAGTTTCCAAGTATAGCAGACATAGGTGATTTCAGTGCAACAACCGATAGGTTGTTGTTAGTGGTAGCGCAAGAGGACGTCTTATTTGTTTCAAGCAGCACCCACCTGCTTTGAGCAACTTCAGGGCGACCCCAGGGCAGGTGGCCGTAATAAGGTTGGCTCTTGCCACTGCATCGTTGAGAGGGTCGAGACTACCCTGCAGGGGAAAGAGAGGGTGGACAGGCGGGGAACATGAGAGGGGAACAGAAGGAGAAACGTTAGTACGATGCCATGATGAGGTTGGCTCTCTAGCCACTGCTTTAGCCACGCGGTGCAACACCAGCTGAGGCAGTAACACAGCCACTAACGAGATTACACCTGCAGCACAAACACCATGCCTGCAGCACCACCAGCACCGTACCTGCCTCACCACCAGCATCGCACCTGCAGCGCGAGCACCATACCTGCAGCACCAGCAATGGCCCGCCGTATCGGATGTGCAGGCTGTTGAGGGGCTCTGGCTTGAGCAGGTAGAAGGCACTCTCCACCACCTCGACTGTCCCCGGGCCTTAGGTGAACCAAGTCCACTGAGAGACACTCTCTGGCAAGCAGTGCAACACTACCTGAGGCAGTAACACAGCTACTGTACCTGCAGCACCAGCACCGGCCCGCCGTATCAGATGAGCAGGCTTTTGAAGGGTTCGGGCTTGGGCAGGTACAATGCACTCTCCACCACCCCCACCACCTCCGCTGTACCTTCAGCACCAGCACCATACCTGCAGCAACCATACCTGAGGCAGTAAAGAGTGTGACTATACCTGCAGCACCAGCACTGGCCCTCCGTATCGAATGAGCAGGCTGTTGAGAGGCTCCGGCTTGGGCAGGTAGAATGCGCTCTCCACCACCTCCACCGCAACACAACACACCTACCTGAGGCAAATTTGCATCATCAACCGTACCTCAGACAGGAAAGAGTATGACTGTACCTGCAGCACCAGCACCGGCCCGCCGTATCGGATGAGCAGGCTGTTGAGGGGCTCCAGCTTAGGCAGGTAGAATGCACTCTCCACCCTACCGGCAATAAGTGCAACAGTACCTTAATCACTAACACAGCCAATCGCACCTGCAGCACGAGCACCGGCCCGCCGTATCGGATGAGCAGGCTGTTGAGGGGCTCCGGCTTAGGCAGGTAGAATGCACTCTCCACCACCTCGACTGCCCCCGGGTCGGTTGCTGCTCGGGAGATCTCCCCTAGAAGCCAGTCGTCAGCCCTCTCAGGCCTCTGGTGGGGGGATCGAGAGTTCATGAAAGGATGGCATGGAACTAAGGTCGGAATGCAAGGAGTGTTTTGAGACGTCTCAAAACACTCCTTTTTTTCACGTTTTTTGAGACGTCTCGAAACTAAGGTCGGAATGCAAGGAAGCGGGCAGGATGAAGGGGCTCTCCACCACCTCCTCTCCTCTGCCCCTGATCGGTGGCTGCTCGGGAGATCTCCCCTAGAAGCCAGTCGTCAGCCCTCTCACTCAGGCCTCTGGTGGGGATAAGGGGAACATAAATATTTAGTGAACTGCTGGAGTGGAGGCGCAAGGAGGGGGGTGCTCCACACTCTCCACCACCTGTTGAACTGGAAAATAATGACATTTCAAATCTTCAAAGCCCGGGCCTAGGGAACTTATCACGGGGTAGCAGCGCTTGAGGATGGGGCCTGAGTTGAAGCGGAGGTACAGGAAGAGAGCACGAGAGAGCATAGGGAGAGCACAGGACAGCACAGGGAGGGAGAGAGAGGGACAAGGGACTCACCACAGGGTAGCAGCTCTTGAGTTGACTTTTGAGTCGACTCAAAAGTCAACTCGGAGTTGACTTTTGAGTCGACTCAAGAGAGGGACAAGGGACTCACCACAGGGTAGCAGCTCTTGAGGATGGGGCCTGTGTTGAAGCGCAGGTAGAGGAAGAGAGCACGAGAGAGCACAGGGAGAGAGAGGGCCGAAAATCTTACCACGGGGTAACAACGTTTAAGAATGGGGCCTGTGTTGAAGCGCAGGTAGAGGAAGAGAGCACGAGACAGCAGCCAGGCTACCGGCTTGGGAGGGCCCTTGGATAAGGGGCCGTCAGGAGGGGGAGACGGGGGCGAGGAGGAGGTGGAGGAATCAGAGGAGGACGAGGTGGCAGGGATGGGAATTTCTGGGTCGATTCGGCCAGCGGAGTTGAATAAGACAAGGGAGGCCACTAGGTCAGGCCACTGGCCGGCAACTGAAGAAACCGTGTAGCCTGATTGCGATGAGGGTGGGAGCAATGAGGGGGGGATGGAAGAAAACAGGAAAGGGGAAAGAGATGAGTGCGGCGGTCCAAGGAGGGAGGATATGAGAATTGCGCCCTGAGAAGAGAGGACAGGTGGGAATGACTTTTGAGAATTCTCAAAAGTCACTCCAATATAGCTGGGAATGAGAATTGAGCCCTCAAGAGAGGACAGGTGGGAATGAGAATTGAGCCCTCAAGAGAGGACAGGTGGGAATGAGAATTGAGCCCTCAAGAGAGGACAGGTGGGAATGAGAATTGAGCCCTCAAGAGAGGACAGGTGGGAATGAGAATTGAGCCCTCAAGAGAGGACAGGTGGGAATGAGAATTGAGCCCTCAAGAGAGGACAAGTGGGAATGAGAATTGAGCCCTCAAGAGAGGACAGGTGGGAATGAGAATTGAGCCCTCAAGAGAGGACAGGTGGGAATGAGAATTGAGCCCTCAAGAGAGGACAGGTGGGAATGAGAATTGAGCCCTCAAGAGAGGACAGGTGGGAATGAGAATTGAGCCCTCAAGAGAGGACAGGTGGGAATGAGAATTGAGCCCTCAAGAGAGGACAGGTGGGAATGAGAATTGAGCCCTCAAGAGAGGACAGGTGGGAATGAGAATTGAGCCCTCAAGAGAGGACAGGTGGGAATGAGAATTGAGCCCTCAAGAGAGGACAGGTGGGAATGAGAATTGAGCCCTCAAGAGAGGACAGGTGGGAACACTTCTTCAAACAAGGAGGGAGGATATGAGAATTGCGCCCTCAAGAGAACAAGATGGGTCAAAACTGGATGAGGGAATGAGTATGATTGGATTGCTTGCATCGCGTCCAATGGGAATACAGCACCTTCATCTCCAACAGGAGATGCCGCCCGCTGCCACCCACCTCCAATTGAGTTGCCGCCCAGAACCACCGGCTCGCCGACCACTTCGCGGATAAAATCCGCCACGCAGTCGCGCCACACGTACTGCGTGTACGACCAAAAAGGTTTTTCTGCCCGGCCGAATCCGGGCAGCGTGAGCGCCCAAACGCGGTGCCCTGAGGCTGCTAGTGGCCGCATGACGTCGCGAAAGTGCTGCCAGAACGCTCCAAATCCGTGAACAAAGAGGATGGCTGGTCCTTCTGTGCCGACAGAGCCATACTGGAGGTGGAATGTGTTGGGGAGGATGGGACGGGTATTTTTGAGGCGCCTCAAGAATAGGATGGCTGGTCCTTCTGTGCCGACAGAGCCATACTGGAGGTGGAATGTGTTGGGGAGGATGGGACGGGTATTTTTGAGGCGCCTCAAGAATAGGATGGCTGGTCCTTCTGTGCCGACAGAAGCGTACTGGAGTTGGAATGAGGGTGGACAGAGAGGGGTGTGAGAGTGGTTGACAGGACAGCTTGATTGAAAACAGCCACTAGAGGCCGCATGACGTCGCGAAAATGCTGCCAGACCGCTCCAAAGCAGTGAACAACGAAAATGGCTGGTCCCTCTGTGCCTGTTGAGCCGTACTGGGAGGGGAATCCGGGTGGGTGGAGAAAGGTGAGGGAGGGAAGCGGTGGGCAGTGTGAGCACCCAAACGCGGCGCCAGGGTCCAGAGACGGCTAAGGGGCTTTTGAGTCGCCTCAAGAATTAACGTGAGCGCCCTAACACGGTGCCCGGAGCTCAAAAAAAAAAAAAAAAAAGAAATAGAAGACAAAAAATAATAGGAGCGCTTACCTGAATGAGAGCCCACCTCCACCTCCAGTGACCAACTGTCGGGTCAAACTCCTGAGGTGACTTTTGAGTCGACTCAAAAGTTACCTGAATGAGCGCCCCCCTCCACCTCCAGTGACCAACTGTCGGGTCAAACTCCTGAGCTGACTTTTGAGTCGACTCAAAAGTTACCTGAATGAGCGCCCCCCTCCACCTCCAGTGACCAACTGTCGGGTCAAACTCCTGAGCTGACTTTTGAGTCGACTCAAAAGTTACCTGAATGAGCGCCCCCCTCCACCTCCAGTGACCAACTGTCAGGTCAAACTCCTGAGCTGACTTTTGAGTCGACTCAAAAGTTACCTGAATGAGAGCCCCCCTCCACCTCCAGTGACCAACTGTCGAGTCAAACTCCTGAGGTGACTTTTGAGTCGACTCAAAAGTTACCTGAATGAGCGCCCCCCTCCACCTCCAGTGACCAACTGTCGGGTCAAACTCCTCCGATGGCGGGACGGCGAGGAAGGAGCTGCTGCTCTCATCCTCCGACTCTGATGCAGAGGAGGAGGAGGAGGCAGAGGAGGTTGATGAGGAGAGGGATGAATAGGAGAAGTCGGAATCTGAGAGCTCGCTGGAAGAGTAGTCAGATGAAGTGGTAAAGGAGGTGCCGGAATCAGAAGAGGAGGAGGAGGATGAGGAGGAGAAGGGGTTGGGAGGAGGCATGGCTGTGTGTGGTCGAAGAGCCATCTCTGTGTGCCACTGTGTGGAATGGGAGGGGACGGGAGGGGAGGGCATTGAGGGGGGGAGAGGGGAGAGGAGGGGAGGGGAGGAGAGGGGAGACATTTTTGTCAATTCGAATGAGGTATGGGCATGTGGGGTGTGTGCCATTGTGGGAGAAATGGAGAGGAGAGCGGAATGGAATGAAGGGAAGAAGAGAGGTTACAAGAGATGAGAAGGATGAGTAGTTAAGAGGGAGGAGGGGAGCTGGAGGGCAGCAGAGAGGGAAGGAAAGTTATATATGAGCCCTGTGATCTTCAACATAGGCATGGCAAAGCACCGTCCATTCAGAAGCTCACACACACAAAATGGCACCGTAAGTCACTGTTAGAATGACTTCCTCACCTTCCCCCTTCCCTTCCACAATGTTCTTTGTGAGTGAATGTAGGAGGAGAAAGAAAATTAGGTTCTGTTTGGGAGCAGCCTTGGCTGTGGTTCGGCTGCTGCTGGCATTTTCGCAAGAGTGCGAGAGGGGCTTGGGAAAGATGCGTGGCGTGGGGGGGAAGGTGTGTAAGAGGGAGGATGTGGATTTGGACTGGTTGGAGTAGGTGGTGGCATATAACCTGCCTGAGACACTCAAGAGCCATATCATCTTGAGCACCTTGGAGGGCTACACGCTACCATCCACTCCACCCAAATCCAGATCCACGACTGTCCTCTCACACACCTTCCCCCCCACATCACACGTCTTTCTCAAGCTCCTCTCGCACTCTTTCGAAAAGGGGCGGCAGCATCCAAAACAAAAGCAAACAGCAATTCAACAAGTTGCACAACAAATTGCAACGTTGAGCGGCACCATGCACGTAACGATGAGAGAGCAACCTCGTAACGGCAACTTCTCAAATGTCACACACACACACACACACACACACACACACACACACACACACACACACACACACACACACACACACACACCACTCTAGCCTCCACAGTGTGAATTGCAGTCGCTCCAGTCGAACCTCTGCCTCCCGGACCGCGTGCACGTAACGATGAGGGAGCAGCCTCGTATAGGCAACTTCTCAAATGCCACACACAATCACGCACCTCTCTAGCTTCCACAGTGTCGATAGCAACTGCTGCAGTCGAGCCCCTGCCACCCAGACCGCGGGCAGCAGTATGCACATAGCGATGTGAGAACAGCCTCATTAAGGCACTGAATCACAATGTCACACAACACACACATGCACACACACACAATCACGCACCTCTCTAGCTTCCACAGTGTCGATAGCAGCCGCTGCAGTCGAGCCCCTGCCACCACCACTGCTACGGCGGGCGGCATCATGCACGTAACGATGGGAGAGCAGCCCAAGGGAGAGAACAGGAGCAAAGAGCGCGTGGAAGGACGCCCGGGGAACCACCTCTAGCTCTGCAATTGTCTCGCTCAGTGGCTTACTCGCGGTTACAGGGTTACCACCTGCAAGTCCGGCTTCTCCCGCTCCGCTCCTTCCCCCTTTCAAATCTGCCTGGAGGTACTGAGATAAGAGAGAGAGAGCTGAAGCTTCCCCGTCTACTTGTGGAAGTTGTGAGGGTGATTCTTGAGTGTTTGTTCCGTCCATTTCTTTTCCTGCCAGCGATAAGAGCTCCTCCAATGAAGGCAAGGCTCCTGTGACGCGTGAGAGGAAAGAACAGAAAGAGAAGAAGAACTGAGAGCAGGGAAACTGAGGAGGAGAGGGATGAAAGGGCTGTATGGCTGTAATAAAATGTTCACAGAAACAACATGATAGTTGCTGAATTGATAAACACTAAACAGTAGAACCTCAGACAAAATCAGTGAACGGCTTTAAAAAAACTGAAAATCCGAGAATCTGAGAATTCTCAAAGACACCCTCCACTTTACATGAAGTGGCCAAGGCGATGAAGGGTCAGGTAGGGAGTGGGTGGAGTGAAGGGAGAGAAGAAGAAAGATTAGTGCCACCCACCACCACAGCCAATGCGAGCAGGGAGAGGGAGAGGCCTATATAATTAATTTTAGAAAATAATCACGAGAAGGAAAGCACCCACCAGAGTCGATGCCAGCAGGCAGGGGGGGAAGCGCAGAGGGGGGAGGCAGAGGCGGGCAGGGCTGCCCTCTCTGCTGCTTGAAGGTGGTGAACTCAAGTGCGAGGGGATCCTGGTGGTGGGATGGGTGGAGAAAAGGACATAAGTAATGGTCGAGAAGCAATGTACAAGCTGCACTAGTTCTCTTGAGGTTGCCCGGACCTTCGAGTTGACGAATATTTAACCCTGAGGGACTCAACCACTCATGCCACTCAGCTCAACCATACCTGGCAGTCGTGCAATGCAGCTCGCCATGTCTCCACAGAGACTCTCTTCTCCTCCTTCGCTTTCCCTTCCTGCTGCCCTTGTGCTATCAAGGCTGACCGGACCTGCTCCAGTGGAAGCTTCCAGCAGGTTTCCACCTCCTCCTCTGCCACTACAGTACGGACAGATGGAACCTGCAATCGTGCCAAGGAGGGGGATCGTTGGAGGAAGACGGGGGGGGTGGGAGGGGAGGAAAGAGGGGAAGGGGGAAAGTTTGGGAAGGAGGGAGGGTGGGTGGAAAGGGTGGGTGTTGTGCATGGCAGGGAGGCGGGGGGAGGAGGAGGGAGGATTGTATTGAGGGGTGAAAGGTAAAATTGGAAAGATTCCCCGCGTACCTGTTGACACAGCTTTGCGATTGCAGTGGAGGAGTCCCCTCGAGCAATGATGAGGTCGGAACCGAGGGAGAGGAGAGAGGAGCGCAGGGAGGAGACGGACGAGAGGAGCAGCGGTAGCTGGCTCGTAGGGAGGTCTGGTGGGAAAAGGTGGTACAGACGAACACAGAGAGAAGGCCTGTGAGTCGAATCAAGGTAGGAGCGCGGGGAGGAGATGGATGAGAGGAGCAGCGGTAGCTGGCTTGCAGGGAGGGCTGGGAACAAGTTACGTGGGTGGGAGAGAACGAAGAAAATAAGAGGTGGAGATGTGTGGGAGGAAGAGGCGAGAAGACGCCGAGCAATAGGGGAGAAACGGCTGGGGCGAGTATGTGGGGAGAAAATGGGGTGATATGCCAAGATGATTGGAGTAAGATGGGTAAGATGGGAGGTGGGAGAGAGCAGAGCAGACGCAAAAGCTGCTTGCTGACCTGACAGGAAATTTGGATCAAGGACAAAGAGCGGAATCGCATGGCTTGTAGCTGCAGATGCCAACAGTGCTGATTCGGTTGTTGAAGCGGCAGAGAGGGCATGCAGGGCGGGATGGTCGTTCACCCTCAGGTCATGCTTGAACCACACGATCGTCGTGGAGGCTGGTGGGATAAGGAGGGGGAAGAGGAGGGGAACGGCACTCTAAGTAATGAATCAGAGAGAGTGCAGGGCGGGATGGTCGCTGACCCGCAGGTCATGCTTGAACCACACGATCGTTGTGGAGGCTGGTGGGGTTGGGACAGGGGAGGGAGGAGGGAAGAGGGGGAAGGGGGAGGGTGAGAATGGCAGTGTATGTGTCGAAGCAGCAAGTGGGTGGCTGGGATGGTCGTTGACCCTCAGGTCGTGCTTGAACCACACGACTGTCGTGGAGGCTGGTGTGGTGGGTGGAGGCGGGGCGAGGATAGGAATGGCAGTCTATATATCCTCAGGTCGTGCCTGAATCACACGACTGTCGTGAAGGCTGGTGAGGTTGGAGTGGGGGAAGGATGGGAATGGCCTGAGGTCTCACGCCTGAATGTCAAGTCTCGAACCTGAATGTCACGTCTCACACCTGAATGTCACGTCTCACACCTGAATGTCACGTCTCACACCTGAATGTCACGTCTCACACCTGAATGTCACGTCTCACACCTGAATGTCACGTCTCACACCTGAATGTCACGTCTCACACCTGAATGTCACGTCTCACACCTGAATGTCACGTCTCACACCTGAATGCCACGTCTCACACCTGAATGTCACGTCTCACACCTGAATGTCACGTCTCACACCTGAATGTCTCTCACGCCTAAATGTCAAGTTTCACGCCTGATTGTCAAATCTCAGGCGCGAATGTCACGTCTCGAGCCTGAATGGCAAGTCTTAGCGCGTGAATGTCATGGATGTCGAGAATCATGTCAGAGTTCACTTCTAACCGACGACCCTCACCATCTGAGACTGCGCTGATCGACGCCATGGCAGTTCGGCTCCTGCTCCCACGCACACTCCCGCTTCTCTCGCTGCGCTTTCTCGCTCCACATGATGTCAGCAAACTCAAGTTTCAAGTCGAGATTCACATCTGATATAGGATGATCGACGATCCTCACCTTCTGAATCCGCGCTGATCGACGCCATGACAGTTCGGCTCCTGCTCCCACGCAAACTCCTGGTTCTCTCGCTGCGCTCGCTTGTTCGGCATAAATTAAGCGGGTTCGGATCGCCACCCGGCTGCACGGATGGTCCTTTAAGAAAATCCCTCGAAGCTCGCGAAATATGGCATCCTCTCTTGGTAAGCCGACCATCGCGGAGGTACTGGCGGTTCCTGGGCGAAGAGAGGAGAACGCGAGCGTTGCTGTGAGTGGACGACGATATCGGTGTGCCGCTTAACGCGGACGCAACGCGGTTAACTCCCGTGCTGGCTTGAAGGGAGGAAATCGTCGCCGACATTCCCGCCAGATGAGCGACAGAAACGTCGCAAAGGCTGGAGGAAGTAGTAGTACGCGTCCTCAACTCACGGACGCAGAGAGCCTGTGGCAAGGAAAGAAGCGCCTGTCCCTAGGCCAGCTGAAATAAGAGCGAGCCTGGAGGCGCGAGCGAGCTGCGGCGGACGTCAGTAACTTGTGTGAAGCAGACCAGAAATATCTGTCACATGTGTCCAATTCGAGTTGCTCCATGCGTTCTCGGGCACATTCTCGTCTCCCTCGAAATCTCCACGAATTTCGTTTCCTGCTCTGATAGGCCGAAGAATTCTGGCAACGTGGCAAATTTTGAGACTTGGAGGAGCCTCGAAAATGCCGATGTCATACGGTAGGTTCGCCGGGGCGGTTGAGAAAGCTCAACCGCTAACCGCCAATTGCAGCTTGCACTAATGGGGATGGAGTTCCCCGTGCAAATGCAGCCGCGCAGGAAAGAGGGGGTGGTGGTTGGCGAAAATTCTGGGCGAACTGTTTCGCCAAGAAGGTAACCTTGCTGAGTTTGATGGTGATTCCCGTTGCCGTGACAACGAGGTCGCAAACGCTCCAAAACCGGAAGTCCCGAAAGCGACGGCTGGAAAGTGGGGTGGTGACACCTTGCATTGCGAAATCACCCACGAACAAGTCGGGGGTTTGCGAAGCGTTTTTGTAGGTGACCGAAAGAACCGTTGCACATCGCGGATGCGCCATGCGGCAACGGGCGGCAGGGGCCCTCGGAGTTTCACTCTTTTCATTCTCAAATATCTGGTTCACTCAGTTCAAGTCCTGCCAATCCAGTAGTAGGCTTTTGGGTCCTGACATTCTGCATAGCTGTGCATTTCACATTATTTCCTTTCGTTCCGTCATCCTGGAAACGCGTCGACAAATAATCAAGTGCTCGTACGCTAACCTGACAACATGAGACGCCCTCTGCGTTCTTCATAGATTAAGACTCCCAAGTATCGAGCTGACGCAGGAATCGCGGTACCATTCTGGTTTTTGTTTTCGCATCAGGTGGCTTTAGCATAATTCACGGCTATAAACAGACGAAACTCGCGAGCCGTCATCCCCATGGCTTCACGCACCAGCAACAGCGGCGTTCGAACAGCAAAGAAAGGCCCCGCGAGGCACGCAGTCAACGAAGCTAGCCATAGTGAAACCTCGAAGCCGTTGAGGGAGAAATGCTGGCGGGTGAAACACGACGTGCTCTTTTCCGAATGGAAGGTACGATAATAAATATACATTTATATAGATACTATCTACACTTCGTTCACACTACGTCCTCTCCCCATTTCCGAATTTTTGCCGGTCTGGAAGCTGTATGACACCTATTGCGTGCTCTTTTTATCAAGTAGAGGGCTCACTTGATCGTTGCCGCTTGTTCCCCTCTCCCCTCTCATCCGTTCCCTCTCCCATTGTTTCTTCCCCTCTTCGCCAGCTTCTAATCGCCGCCGACGATTGGTCAACCCATTCCCAAGGCGTCCCAGGAGCCACACGGTACCGCATTGCAAACCTTCCAAGCCAAACCGGCCCGGGCGTGTACGAGCTCGGGATCCTGCCGAACCGGGTGGTTCGGCAGCAGCGGCGGCTGCAGGGGTTGCCGGTGCGGGTGGTGTATGTGGGGCATTCCGAGAGTGTGAGGGGCAGGATGCAGCAGTACGGGCAGTCAGGGTCGCACCTGAAGGAGCTCTTTGAAGGGGTGTTTGCGGAAGACTATGCTCTCACCTTCCGATGGATCTCTGTAAGCCATTTGGTAGCAGCAGAGAGGGTATTTGTCTGTTGTTGGGGAGGGGGGGGGGTTATTGTTGTGTCGCACCTGAGGGAGCTCTTTGAAGGGGTATTTGTGCAGGACTATGCTTTAACCTTCCGATGGACCTCTGTAAGTCGTGTTTAGCAACCCACCGGGCATTTCTCTGTTGTTGGGGCGGTAATTAGAGTGTGAGGGGCAGGATGCAGCAGTACGGGCAGTCAGGGTCGCACCTGAGGGAGCTCTTTGAAGGGGTGTTTGCGGAGGACTATGCCCTCACCTTCCGATGGACCTCTGTAAGCCGTGTTTAGGTGACTTTTGAGTCGACTCAAGAAGCGGCTCTGCAAGATCGCAGGCTCTCCTGCTACTTCACCTTCCGATGGACCTCTGTAAGCCGTGTTTAGGAACACAGAAGGCATTTGTCTGTAGTTGGGGGACATTCGGAGAGTGTGAGGAGCAGGATGCAGCAGGACTACTCTCTCACCATCCGTTGGACTCCTGTAAGCTGTGGGTAGGAGAACATAAGGAATGTGCTGCTGGGGTGTTTGCTACCAACGGGTTTCACTCTTGCCTCTTTTGAGTCGACTCAAAAGTCAGCTGAGTCGACTTAAAAGTCAGCTGAGTCGACTCAAAAGTCAGCTGAGTCGACTCAAAAGTCAACATAAGGAATTTGCTGCTGGGGTGTTTGCTACCAACGGGTTTCACTCTTGCCTCTTATCGCCTATCCCCATCCCCTCACTCCATCAACATCCCTCCCCCTCCCCTCTCCTCTTTCACAGGCGGCCTTAAAGGCAGAAGCGGCAGCAACAGAGACCCTGCTCCTCTCTTCCTTGGACTACGTTTGGAACGTCAGCAACAACCACCACCGCCGCCACGACCGCCTCTTGACCAAGCTGCAAGTCGGCCCGTCCTTCTCCCTCCTTCTTCCCCAACATCATCCCCATCCCCATCCCCATCCCCATCCCCATCCCCATCCCCATCCGCACCTACCCCCCCACCCATGTTCCCCAGGCTGTGACAAAAGCAGAAGCGGCAGCCACCGAGACCCTCCTCCTCTCTTCCTTCGACTACGTTTGGAACGTCTCCAACAACCACCACCGCCGCCACGACCGCCTTTTGACCAAGCTGCATGTCGGCCCGTCCTTCTCCCGCCGTGTCGCCGTTGCCTTCCCCTTCCTCCCCGTCGCTCGCCTCGTCACTCCTGTGGCTGTTGGGCCTGCAATCCCTCTCGCCGCTGCTGCGGTTGCTCCCGTTCCTCCTTACTCACCTACTGCCCCCCGTGCTGCTTCTCCTGCTGCCGCATCGCGTCCTGACGTTCTGTCTGCCACCAGCCATGCTAATTATTCTGCTGCTAAGCCCCAGGACAGACAACCACATGATAAACCACCAGGCACGCCACCAGGTAGATCAACAGACAAAACGCCTAACAGATTACCTGGCAGAACACCTGAGAAAAGACAAGGGGATTATGGAATCAAGGTTTGTGGGGCTCCACTCTCGCACGGGGGAGTATGTATGCAGGCAGCAGTAGAAGGGCGAGAGCGGTGTGCCGAGCATAAGGGCATGCGGGTCAAGGCTAGTCTTGAAATTTCTGAAGCGCCTAAACAGCAGGTGCCTCAAAAGCCATCCTCCCCTCTCTCAAAGAGCACCTTAGGTGTTGCTGCGGCTTGTGGGGTGCCGCTTGTTGGTGGCGGAACTTGCCAGGAAGCTGCTGTGAAGGGTAGAGTAAGGTGTGCTGCGCATAAGGGTATCCGTGTCAAAGGGAGAGGTGGATTGTGACTACAGTGAAAGGACATGCCGTGTCATACTATCCTAAGTGAATATGGTGAAAGTGCATCTGGAATGTGACTATCTACAATGGTCTATGCGGTTGAGTGAGGGTATGCATGCTGTTGGGAACAAACAGTCGTAAGCGCTTCTGTCGTATCGAAACTCCAAGACACAAGCGAAGCAGCGCAAACCAGGGCTCAGGTTTGCAGTGTAATTTACCCTTCTATACTGATTACAAGGGTGAATTTTTGGGTCTACACTGATGTGCTGGGGTAATTTTTTGGTGAGTTAGTGTTACACTGATCTGTAAGTGTAATGATTTAGGCCACACTGATGCTCTGGGGTAATTTTTCCCTTGACGAAGATTACCCTGAAGAGCGTACAGGGACTCCCCCCCCCCCTCGGAAACTCTACTTATTGAGAAGAAGTTTCCTATAACTTTCGTAGCGATACACCCAATTTCGTAATGATGCACTACGACGCCAGCACACGTGAGTACTGACAACCGACACCGTGTCACTCCGTGTCTGCTTGCAACCTACCCGTTACTGTAGAGGCGATGCAACCTGATTGGTCGAAGCTGCACTCTCTGCAAGAACGTCAACTTTCTTGACTCGGAAATTTGGGACTCGAGGTTTCCGAACACACTCGAAATTTGCTGACTTGGCGAAAAATACAAGTGTTGCAGCGAAACCAGACAAGCCACTGCGCTCGACTTTTGAGTTCACATCACAACTCCCACCCACCAGCGCCCAGCTTACGATAGTAATCGTGCGCGATTTGGGCCTCGAGCTTGATTGCAGCCAGCACATATTGAGCAGCCTTAAGTACAATCAGGGTAAACAATATACCTACACTGATGCCTCTGGGTAAAGTTTTCAAAACTTCAAGTTACACTGATCCATCAGTGTTTCCAAAAAGGGCACACTGCTCAGAAGGGTTTTGAAAATGTCTACACTGCTAATCGTGAGTAGGCAAAATCCAAACCTAAGCCCTGGCGCAAACCGAAGCACCAGCGAGTCAACCCTCGGAAGTTGATGTAACGTATTGTCAGAATGAGGAATGGATGTTGCATTGATGTTGGTTGGGGTACATATGACAAACCCTAACTTCTGTACCCCCTAAGACAAACCTCACTACAGGCTACAACATTTGACACACCCCCATAGCCTAAGTGAGGGGTGTCTAGCAAAAAACAAAAAAGAGTACGGTCACAAGACCAGTCCAAAAGAAAACAAAGCTCAGGGTGGATCACAACGTCACCACACACTCTGAGCACAAGCAACAGTGGCCACAAGGCCAGTCCAAGAGATCACAAGTATATATAGTAAGTGTACAGACGAAGCAGGCAATAAACTCAAGTCTACGCATGACTAGAACCTGTGTCAACAAGGCCTAACTGCACACAACACCTCTGGTGGTCACAAGGCGGAAGCGCCTTGGTGAAGATGTCTGCAGTGTTGGCCTCGGACTCTACAAACTCGAAGCGAGCCTGTCCACGCCTCTGCAACTCTCGCAGAAGAAAGTACCTGACGTGAATGTGCTTCACTCTGCTCTCCAGTCGCGGCTCACGACAGAGGAGGATCGACGCCTTGTTGTCAGTAAACAAGGTCGGTGCAGAGCTCGGCCGCTCACCAAGGTCGGCGAGCAAGAAGGTCAACCAACGCAACTCCTGTGCCGCCATGGCACCAGCGTAAATCTCAGCCTCAGCTGTAGAGGTCGAGACAGAAGAGGAGCGCGTGGAACGCCAGGAAACAGCTCCAGAACCCAGACTGAAACAGTACCCCTGAGTAGACCTGTGAGTCTCAGCGTCGTCAGCGTAAGAGGAGTCACAGTGACCAGTGAGTACGACAGACTGCTGCCCTCCAAGAACTAGCCCCACGCCTGATGTAGTCGCTAGGTACTTCGCCACCCTCACAGCTGCCGTCCAGTGAACAGGACGGTGTCTCCCTGGCGCAACAAAGCGCGCAAGGATGCTGAGAGGGAAGGCGAGGTCCGGGCGAGTACAAGTCATCAGGTACATGAGGCAACCCACAAGCTCTGCGTAGGGACCACTAGGCTCAAACGGCTCGTCAGGAAAGGGACCAGTGAGTCTGTGGTCAACAGCTAGAGGTGTGCGCTGTACGGTGGAGTGCTGAAGCCCGAACCGCTGAAGGACCTGTTGCACCATGTGTGACTGTGAGAGTGTAATGGTGCGAGCGGCTCTGTCCCTGGTGATCTGCAGGCCAAGGTAGTGGCGCAGCTCACCAAGATCAGTGCACGTGTGTCTCTTCTGCAGTTCGGACTTCACGTCTGCCAAAGCAACCCTGTCCGAAGTGGCGAAAACGAGGTCGTCGACGTAGACCAGAACAAAGAACGGTGTGGAGCCACGACGAACGAACAACGACGGGTCGGCAGAAGACGGCTGGAACCCAAGGTCAGAGAGGGTAGAACGCAGAGAGTCGTGCCACTCACGAGGGGCCTGGCGAAGACCGTAAACAGGTCGCCTCAGCCTCCACTGGGTCCCAGGAGGGAAGGTGCCAGTGAAGGCCGAGGGACGACGCAACCAGACCTCCTCGTGTAGGCTGCCCTGAAGGAAAGCAGTGGAGAAGTCAAGAGAGTGTAACTCGTAGTCTCTCTGTGCTGCTACGTGTAGTAACACCCGAAGAGTGGTCATCTTCGGGGTAGGTGCGAAGGTCTGAAAGAAGTCAACTCCCTCACGCTGACTGAAACCTCTAGCCACGTAGCGCGCCTTGAAGACCGGGGGAGATCCCGGTGGCCGCTTCACCCTGTAGATCCACATGCCGTCGACTACGTTCGCCCCAGGGGGGGGAACCTCATCGACGTAGGTGCCTGTGGATCTGTAGGAGGCCATCTCTGCGTCCATGGCAGCTCTCCACTGAGAGGCCCAAGGCCCTGACACTGCCTCAGCGTAAGTGCGAGGAGTCGGAATGTCAAGGGCGTTGGGGTCACCCTCAGGGGCGAGGAGCATGGCACAGAGATGAGGGGAAGCGGCCGCCAGGAACTCTAGCTCAAACTGCCTGTCCTCTAGGGCGTCACAGCCAAGGGCAGACACACCCCCGACGGCCAGAGGACTGGTAGGAGGAGCAGCCACAAGCGTGGTGGCGTAGTCAAGGCGGCGGGTAGAGGCAAAGTCAGTAACTGCGGCAGTAAGAGCGGACACAGAGGACACAGAGGCACGAGGGTGAGTAACAAGAGAGGCGAGAATACGAGAGAGAACAGGACGGTACGTGCGGTAGTAGTCAGTGACAGGAGTAGGGAGCGACACAGTGAGGGCCGACTCAGGAGGAGACGGAAGCACAGACTGAGACGGACGAGGTGGACTAGAAAGAAGGAAGGCAGTACGAAGGTCAGTGAAGGGAACAGGAGACGAGGGACGAGCACGAGGGGAGCGACGAGTAGCCCAAGAACGAGACGGAGGAGGAGAGGACAAAGGCGGAGAACTGGGGAAAACAGCGGGGGAGGAGTCAGGAGGAGGAAACGTGGGACCGTAGACAGGAGGAGAGGCGGAGGAGGGAGGAGAAGGGGAGGGGAGACCAAGGATCCGAAGACCCGAGACAGGAGGAGGAAGTGGCTGCTGCTGCTGCGGCTGCGACTGCTGCTGCTGCGGACGCGGCTGCTGCTGGGACTGCTGCTCCTGCGGGTCCAGCTGCTGCTGCTGCTGCTGCTGCTCCTGCGGCTCCAGCTGCTGCTGCTGCTCCTCCAGCCGCTGTAACTCCCTCTCCTCTCTCTCCAACGCCAGCTGCTCGTCACGGGCACGGCGAACACGAGCCTGGTGCCTAGTCGGGTAGGGGTGGGGGGGTGGAGTAGTGTCCGAAGCAGCGGCAGCTCCAGAGTCCACCTCAGAAGAACTAGGCGCACCACCCCCAGAGGCAGCACTAACACCAGCTCCAGAACCAGGCTCACCTGAACCCGAAGGAGGCGCACCCTCACCCCCAGACGCAGCACCCCCAGTGTCCGCGCGGCCAGCACCAGCTCCCGGACGACAAGAGTCCTCTGCACCTACCGGGTCAGCTCCAACTCCAGAACCAGAAACTCCAGCTCCAACCCCAGCTCCAACTCCAGCACCCCCAGAACCAGAAACTCCAGTGCCAACTCCAGCTCCAACTCCAGCTCCAACTCCAGCACCCCCAGAACCAGAAACCGGTACAGGAACAGGCACCGCACCAACCTCTCGAGAGCTAGCACCAGCGGCACGCTGCGAGGAGGACTGTGGGGAGGGAGGCTGTACCGGAGGGGCTACCGAAGGAGGAGGGGTAGCCTGGGACACACCTGACGGGGCTGGACCAGGTGGGGGAGGCTGTACCGGGGGAGCAGGAGGGGGAACGGCAGTCAGGAAGAGGGGGGGAGGAGGAACCGGGAGACCTCGACTGGGGTACCTGACGTAGTACGGAGTGGACTCCTCGAAACGGACGTCACGGGAGTCAAAGAACCGGTGAGAGGGAGGGTGGTAAAAGGTGAAGTCAGAGGAGTCCTCAGGGAAACCAAGGAAGACACAGGGGACGGCACGAGGCGAGAGCTTGTCCGCGGAGGTGTCGCGGACAAGAGCCAAGCACCCCCAGACACGAAACCGCGACGCAACACCAGGGGACCCTGTCCAAAGACTGGTCGGTGAAACCTCTGGTCGAGAGACACGTGGCCAGAGGTTCAGCTGGTGCGCGGCGTACCTGACCGCGTAGGGCCACAGAAAATGGGGGGCACAGGCGTGAGTCAGGGAGGTGCGGGCGATCTCCATGACCAGGCCTATGCGGCGCTCAGCAACCCCATTCTGCTGTGGGGACTCTGGAAG